TCCAGGCACCAACCACCCACTTGCATCCCAAAACAGATCACGATCTAACAATAGTCTGTTTATGTGTGGTCCCATAGGTCCATGAGAATAGAGAGAGATGATAAGAACTGCTCTCGTTCTGCCCCATACCCAAGACACTAAAATGAACATTTACCACATATACACAATTTGTCCCAGGGCTGCAGTCTCCAGTAAGGAAGAAAACCCGCATTCAGCTTTGCCAATAGGAACTCTAGCCCTGTGGGCCACCTTAGAAAAAAATCTCCCAATGTTTTTGTGCCAGAAAGAACACACAGAAGAGACAGAAAAGCAGGCATCCTCCCTCCTTACCCATCAACAGCTCCTGCGGAGATAAGAGTGTGTTCATCCTGAAGCAGCACCACAGTTACACTCTGCTGGAAATCCTTAAAAAGAAAAGAAAAAAAAAGAACTTCATTTTCTTCCAAGGTCAGCAAAATCTTGCTGCTTAGTTCAAGGCCAAGTGAATACTGAGAAAACCTCCTCCTACCCAGGCAGGAGAACCTGGAAATACCAGATGCCATTTAGGACACAACAATCCTTTGAACATTCCCACCAGTGAAATTGCCACTGAGCGGTAAGGGTTTGGGAAGCAGTTTGAGATTATACCTTTCAGGTCAGAGATAAGAGAGCTGCTTTCATCACAAGGTTTAATAAATTAAGGAAAACCAGGTTTTACTCCAGTAAAGCAGTAATTTGTGTAGTCAAATTCATGGGGGGAAAAAATAAGAAAAAAAAAATACAATCCTTCCTATCTCTCCCCTCAAAACCAGGAATGCTGGCCTCTCCTTTTCTCTCTGGAAAAAAATAAAAATGTATTTTCACATGGCACTTGCACAAAGATGGCTTTGATAGCATGTGGGTTGTTAGCAACTAAACAATGTCTAAAATTAGCTGTAGCAAGTGACCATGACACAAAAACCTATCTCTGCAAAGATAAATGGAAGTATTTACCACATTCAAGCCAAGTATTTCTCACGATAATTACTTAGAAAGACTTCTATGCACAACATTTTCCTCAGAAGAGAGGCCTGTATTTTATTTGTTGCCCGGATGCCTACCACCAAGGGAGCAAGTCCTCTTAGGTTCTGCCTCTTCTTCTTTGGTTTGGAAGGAGTCTGCTTGTCAACCACATTGTGTGCTCCACTGATTTGATTCACCTGCCTATAAAATCCATCTGAAAGATATCGAAGACATATCAATTAATAATTTCTAGGCAGTTTTGCTGTCACTTCAATAAAACAGGAATCAGCTTAGAATAAGTCCTAAAAAGCGCACAGAGACTAACTTTTAAAATCATGAATGTATTCTGAAAACAAAAATTGCTAGTGACATATGAAACCAATGAGAAGAACACAGTAGAAAACAGGAGCACATATTGCAAAAAATTACACAGGCCAGGAAACTGCTGGGATAGAGCAGGGAACTGGGAAGAGGCATAAGGGAATGACCTGACCGGGGAGGGAAAAGCTCCAGGAAACAGAAAGAGAGGAACAGAATGAGCTCACCCTCCATTGAGTAGGTCTTCCCACAATATATTCAGTTGCTCCCAGCACTCATAAGCTCCTTTGCTCCTGCACTTTCTGCTTTCCTTCCTATTCTGGCTGGAGCCTTCACAGCTTTGCTTCATCCCTCCCTCTGGATGGCTCTGATCTAAGCACTCTCACCCAGCCCATCTATCTCCATGGTGTCCCACACAGGGATGCATTCTGTACCCCCTTATCTCCTCACCAATTTACAGAGTATTATCAGGCCAGCATGTATATCATGCTGCAAACCTGAGACTATTACAAAGTGGAAAAATGTATTATACAGATAAGAGGTACCTATTCCACCCTTTTACTGTACCAAAGCAGTACACTGTTATATGATAATCCTCCTCTTCTTACCAAAGTGTTGCCTATATCATAATTGAAAGCATTAGTCCAACAAGTACATCTGAGTACTATTTTTACACAAGATACTGAGCTTTTTTGATACATATCTGAAAGTTCAGTTACCTTTCTTGTTGCATCTCATATCCCAAACCATGATGTTTCCATCTCTGCCTCCAGTACAGAAGACAGCTGAGGGGGAGAAAAAGAGTGATATTAGTTTCCAAAAGTATTCATTTAAATTATGTAGCTCTAGCTCTTCTGCCTCAAAACATGGAATACCAGTCCTAGAAATACAAAACTCAGGCCGTTGTTCTGCCATGCTTTTTGACCAGTTTCCTTACTCTTCCTAGTCTTCTACTACTCTAGAGAATCCTGCTTATGAAAAGAGTATTTACACACTTATGTATGCGAGTAGGTATCATATCTTAAACTTGCCCAAGATCAGAAATGTGCAGATGTTAGCATCAGGTCACTGTTCAGTTCCAACAAGTTAGTTTTGCTTCACCTGCTGGGTTGCTGCTCAGTCGGCCTCTGCTATTTGTAACCGTTAGTTTCCAAAGCCTTTTTTTAGCCCCCAAAGTACCAATGTGCCAGGGGGAAAGAAGGAGGAAAAACCAGACAACAGGGAATATAAACATTTACCTTTGTCAAATCTTGAAAAAGCAACTGACTTGAGGCTACACTGGTGACCTTTGCATATGCCAAGAAGCTCGCTGGCTCTCACATCCCACACCTTGGCTGTCTGATCTCCTGAAGCAGTGACCTTCAGAGGAAAAAATAAAAAGCTTTAGTCATTTTCTGCACACAGTTGCCAAAGCATTAAAAATAAAGTTAGATGGCAAAAGACTGCTTACAATCCTGTGTTCCCCTGGTACCCAGGCAAGGTCAAATACAGCATTTGAGTGAGCCTGCCATTCTAAAAAGAAAACAAAAGCCAAGATTAGTTCAGTGCACCTCAGCATGATACTTTGCAGAATGCTAAAGAACATCAGACACTGAAATCAGAAAACTTGCCAACAGCTTGCCTTAGGCAACACAGAACAATTCATTTACTACTGCTGTTGTAAGAGCACACTCATGCTGTTGCTTTGTAAAGAAGACTCAGCAAAGTATATGAAAGGATTTAAGTACTGCCCAATGTTTAAATGCCTTGCAAAAAGCTTTCTTTGATTGCAGTAAATCATGTACTTGTCACATCAAACAACACTCTATATAACAGTTTACCCTTAAAGATGAGTTTGCTGGTAGTTTGAGCTTCAGTATCATACAGTCTAACAAATCCTTCCTCATTTGCAACTGCCAGTACATGCTCCAAATTCGGGGCTGAAAAGGAATTGAAACATATTTATGTATTATGTAGCGGATTCATGATCGTGCCCCTGCTCTTTGTGAAGGGCCACAAACACTTTAAATAGGGTACACAGCAAATAGGTAGCTGTGAAATAAACAGTAGTTACATAGCAATTTCAACATTCAAAATGCAGAAATCTTGGCAAGCATTTTTTATAGATGTTCCATTCAGGAACTACTACACATGGGCAATCAAATGGCTCCAGGGGCAACTTCTGAAGTAGCGGCCTCTTTTACCAGCTGTAATAGTTCTCTAGCTAGTTTTCTGTATCTATACTACCTGTTCTCCACAATGTTTTACGTATCAGTTAGAAAAGCAGGAAGCTGCCTTGGAGAAAGGTATAAGCTCACACCAAAACTAGAGTGCTACAAATGAAAGAGCTTTGTCCTAAAGACCCACAAACGTCCATGCTTTCTTCACCCATCACGTGTTTATCATGGGGAAACACCACATGTCTAGTGACATACATCCACCCCTGATTTCTACCTACTCTTCTCCATCCTGTTATATCTTTTATATATTTTGAACAAGGCCCAATTTTTCAACTATGTAGCCTAGCGCTGTCACTGAGAGGAGGTACCTTGAAACAGACAAGCCAAAACAAAGAGACACTAAAATAAATGAATTGCAATTGTTTCCTTCAGGGAATACTTTCCACCACTACATCTGGGAGCACCATGATGCAATTCATATCACATCTGGGTGCAAGTACACTATTACCAGCTCACTCTAAAACAAGAAACTCTGAAACCAAATCAGGAGATGTAATTTTTAAAAAAACCCCACAAAACCAAACAAATGAGAGCATGCCCACACCCTGGCCCCTAAAAGGGCCTTTCAGAAGATGACTTAGACATCAGAAAGAAATTTTGCACTATGAGGGTGGTGAGACACTGGAAAAGGTTGCCTGGATAAGTTGTGGGTGCCCCATGGCAGGGGGGCTGGAACTTTATGATCTTTAAGGTCTCTTCCAACTCTACCCATTATATGATTCTATCCCTAGAGGTGTTCAAGGCCAGGCCGGATGGGGCTTTGAGCACCCTGGTCTAGCGGGAGGTGTCTCTGCCCAGGGCAGGGGGTTGGAACGACAAGATCTTTAAGGTCCCTTCCAACTCGAACCGTTCCATGATTCTATGGCTTTACCTGCAGAAAAGCTGCATCCGAAGGGAGGGACGGGCATTCCCGCTTCCCCGTAAGACAGGTGGTCATCCTCGCGGCTGCACTGGTAGCTCTCCAAGAGGTGCTGCAGGGGAAGCGCCGAGCACCGACCTGCAACGAGACAGACGGATGTCACCGCTCCGGGAGCGGCCTGGAGGAGGCCAGGGGGGCGACAAGCCCACTGCTGGGGCGGTCCCGCCGCCCGGCGGCGGTGAGGTCCGGTGCGACGCGGTGAGGGGAGCGATGAGGCCGCGATACTCACCGGGCGGCGCGGCCGCGGGCGCGGAGGAGCGGCGGAGCAGCGCGCGGCACAGCATGGCCAAAGGACGCCCGGCGCGCGCGGGCCCGGTTCGTGGCGCCAACTCCCGCCACCAACCGACCCGCCAAACCCGTCGCCGGCCGCTCATTGGCCAGCAGAAGGAGGGTTGCGCTTCGCTCTCTTCTTCTGATTGGGTAGCGTGCTGAGAGGGCGGGGCCACCCGGGCCACCTCCACCCCCGGTGATGGGTGGTTCTGCCGGGCGCGGCGCGTGCGCATAAATCCCCCCTCAGGCTGAGGTGGCGGGAGGGCGGCTGCGCGTGCGCGGCGGCCGGGCCGGGGAGCGGCGCTGAGGCGGTGGGGGGGGCCGCCGGTATGGCTGCCAGTGCTAAGTCCTTCCTGGCCGATGCGGGCTATGGCGAGCAGGAGCTGGACGCTAACTCCGCCCTCATGGAGCTGGACAAAGGTGAAGGCGGGCTCGGGGTTGTGGCCGGCCTAGGGAGCGGGGCTGGGGCCACCCCTAGGGCGGTCGGTGCCCGCTCTCTGCCCTCGCGCCGCGCTCTGGGGGGGCGGGTGAGTCCCGTCCTTGGATCCCCAGCGGCCGGGAGGTGTCTGGTACCGCTTTACCGCCAGGGACGGGGTGGAGGAAGGACTCGGTTTTGACGGAGCATTGGTTTCCCCGGTAATGATGGTTGTTTCGTTTAGGCCTCAGGTCCGGCAAACTCGGGGAGCAGTGCGAAGCCGTCGTGCGTTTCCCCAGGCTCTTCCAGAAGTACCCTTTCCCTATTCTCATTAATTCAGCTTTCCTGAAGCTAGCGGACGTTTTCCGGGTGGGGTAAGTGGAGCTGTATTTGACTGGCGCTTGTTTTCCCTGTCTGTAGTGGGCTCGGGTGGCTGGGGGTGACAGTGACACCGCTCCTGCCCGCCCACCCGCCTTTCAGCATTCACTTGCTGACTGGGTCGAGTCAACTGGTGTAAATTCTGCTCCCTAGGCACCTTCAGATTCGTAATTAATAAACAGATGAATGATCACATGTGCACAGTCCACGTCAAAGGGATGTTAATAACAAAGCCCAAAGTGTAGCTTTTTTCCAAATGCTCCATGTCCAAGTGATGCGTGTGATGGAATTGGAACTACTTTGTAGTAGCTTATGGAGTTGCTGTTGTGGAATCTTTCAGTGTTGGCTCCAGAAAGGAAAAGAGCTTCACTCGCACCTGGGAATGGCAATTAGACTTTTCTGTCTTAGTCCTAGATATGCTTTTCTAGCAGAATTAGATCCCTAAGTGTGCACAAAAGATGCATCTGCTTACACTCCTTCTCACTGGTGTCAACAGTTGCATTTCCATGGAGTTGGGCCTATTTTACACTGCCTGTACTAGAAAATAAAACAATAGTTTTATTTTGATTGTAGCAGTCTAATTAAATATAATGTTTCTAAAGCATAGACCTTAACCTGTTTTAATTTACTTTCATGAGTTCTTTTTAAAATAATTTCATGTTTAAAGTGTTTGAATTTTTATTGTAAAACAGTCTGATAAAGAAATATGTGTCTCCTAATAGAAACAACTTCCTGAGGCTGTGTGTGCTGAAAGTTACTCAGCAGAGCGAGAAGCACCTAGAGAAGATACTAAACGTGGATGAGTTTGTCAAAAGAGTTTTCTCAGTAATTCATAGCAATGATCCAGTTGCTCGGGCTATTACCCTTCGGTATGTATTACAAAAATGAATCTAACTTCCTTCAAATCTCTAGCTAATTATTAGTGTGCTGGTCTGGAATAACAAAATCTGAAACTACCTTGAGTGAAAGGTAGGAGGCATCTTATACACTGCTCATAGAGTTAAAAGCAAAGACATCTGTCTTCAGAGGACGTGAGCGATAACAATCTGTGATCAGAACAACAAGGTTATTAACCATTTCTGGTGGTGAGAATTTTGTGGATGGCTCCAGGCAAAACAGCATTTGCAGCATTGAAAGGAGAAGGAGAATGAACCTGTTGTATGTGTAACCCAGAGAATAAGTATATACTGTATATCATATGTTGCCTATGATATATTTAGACTAGGACCAAAAATGCTTCCTTACCTGTCAAAATATTTTTTGTTAACTTGTAACCATAACTTATTAATGTAAACATTATTACACTTGCAGCTATTTTTTATTTATTGTTGTCCTATAAGTTTGCAGCTTGTTGGTCTCTGATCAATAACTTCTAAGGGAGTGCCATTGTGTTATTGGTTGCTTGGACTGCCCTGGGAATCAAATGGGGAAAAACATAAAGTTAAGTTATCTTTAATGTCACTGTCCAGCTCTTTTGCTGTCTATGTCTCTACCACTATCTAATGTGGTCGTCTTAACTGCATCTTCCAACTCCTGTGCAAATGAATTCAAATGTGAAGAGAGTGCTCTTCTATCTCCCTTTGCATTTTTTCTTTTACCTGTTTAGAATTCTTACTCTTTCACTATTGGAAGATGGGAGGCATTAACAGGGGTTTGTTTGATTACCTCATACATCCATTTTTTTTCTTCTTTTGATATTTCATTTGAGGTTGTGCTTTCATGCTCTGTCTCAAAAATCTATGAATACAATATATCTACATGTTTTCTTGTAGTTCCAGTTCAGTGTTCTAACATAAGATTACAGTTGTTGACTGGCATTGAGGGCTATCTTTACAGACTGCTAGAAGATCCAGGAACCTGCTCAGTTTAAAAAAAATGCTTAAATTAGTAATCGATTCACAGGATGTATCAAATGCAAGGGTAAAATAGCTGTTGGTTCAACAGTTCCAGTTGAAAATCTTCAGTTGATTTGCTCTTATTCTACTTAAATAGTGTCAGTAAGAAAGAACATGCTGAAAGGAAGATGTGCTAAAACAAAATTTTGTGTCTGTGGAATTTTATTGCGAGATAACTGTGTGTAAATATTTGCACAGAACTCTTGCTAAAATTACCATTGGTGCAAATCCTGCATTCATTCTTCTTTTAATGATATTATGCTAAATATGCCAGAAAAGTATCTTTGAGATATTCTTAGCAAAGCTTAGATTGATTTTTCTCCTTTTTTAGCAGTTACACAAAAGGTATTGAGCTATTCCCAGTAATAACCTTATTTCACATTAGCAAAAGATCTTAGACATAAATGATGAAAGTCTGATACTTGTTTACTTGGTCATGGTAGTGTTCTAGAAACACTGCTTTCTTAGCACGTGGCTAAAATTTATGATTTCAGACATCTGGCACTTCTGTAGTCTTAATCGGGAAGAGGGATATAAAGGGTGGAAACAGTTATCTAAATGCTTTATTCCCCCTTAGACCACCACTGAATGTATATCCCATGATGTGTATTTCATGTGTGTCTGAAAATAGCCATTAGTACATTTTAGGAGTAAAACTGTTGTATTGATACCAGAGCTTGAATGTAAAAGAGCTTGCATTTTAAAAATATTTTTCCTCGTGCTACTGTGCACTCGTAATTTTAGAAGAATTCTTGGTAAGTTTCTCACTGTGCCCTTTTCAAGTGAAAGTTATCAACACATAATCAATTTGTTATTAAACCACTGACGTAACCCATGTGACAAAATTTGTTACCTTTTAATTACATGCCTACTTTGAGCATTTGTTTCTGTAATAGACATAGCAAAGCACATACTTATATAAAAATAGTCCTTTAACCAGTCCTTTTACATTCTATTTGGTTTCATCTTGCATTTCTTCATGATCATTGTTCTTGCTGATTTTGCTGTGATTTATTTCTGTAGGATGTTGGGCAGCATGGCATCTATTATTCCAGAAAGGAAGAATGCACATCACAGTATTCGTCAGAGTTTGGATTCCCATGATAATGTGGAAGTTGAAGCTGCTATATTTGCTGCTGCCAACTTTTCTGCACAATCAAAGTAAGAAGTACTTTTTTTTTTTTCAGTTCTTCGTATTACAGAGAATGGAAACTCCATTGACACTGGCATTCACAAACCTTAGTATTTCCTTCTGTAGTGCTAACCATGTCATAGCAAAACATTTAATTATGTGTAATAATGATATTATAAAGAAATCTGAATACAAATTTAATAGATTATTTTCTTTTTTATAAAAAAGTAAGGGAAAACTTGAAATATAGGAATGCAAAGTGTAATAGCAGCTTTAATTAACGATTATTTTACAGACATACTAGGGAACAAAATGTAGTGCTGTTTATCATTCTTGACACATTTTTAAAGCTTCTAGTTTTGCCATTTGATCATGCCCGTGTGCAGGCATTCTTAAACTTTAGGTCTTGGCAAGCACTCTTTTGTGAAAGTTTTTATTTATAAAAATAACATGATTGGTAGTTCAATTGATTATTTTTTTTTAATTATTTTTAAGTGTCTATTTTTTTTTTTGCATTTCACCTGGTACTTTGTCTTTTCTCTACAGGGATTTTGCTGCTGGAATATGCAATAAAATCAGTGAGATGATTCAAGGTATGTATGTATATTGAACGATAGAAGGGAAAAGCTTTAATTTCTCTGAGAATTCTTTATTATCTATATGTAAGTGTCAGACATCACAAGCTGTTGCCCTTATCCTCAAATTATTCCAGCTTTTCAATTAAAGTAGCTAATCAATAGTCTAATATCTGGTTGTTGTGTCCTCTTAAAACTCTAAGTTCTTAAAACACCTGTTTGGTAAAGAATAAAAGCTCATCCATAGTACAGTGAATAAACTTACATAGACTATCACAGGTTGCTTCCGGTGAGTTAATATGTATGTTACGTGCAATGAAGCAAGGAGCAACCCTCTCAAAGAGCCATAAAAGTGCTTGATACCACAGTTGTTGCGCTGCTAGCTAGTAGATGAGTTATTTGAAACTAACGTAGGTGTCTGCACAATCTGCATTCAGCAGTGGTAGCAACACAGACAAATTGTGTGCCTCAGTACTGCCGAAAGCCGGTACAAAGGACTTACATTCTGCCTGTGTTTCTCTTCCTTGTTGCAGGTTTGGCCACACCTGTGGACTTGAAATTGAAGTTGATCCCAATTCTACAGCACATGCATCATGACGCCAGCCTGGCCTCCAGCTCCCGGCAGCTGCTGCAGCAGCTGGTAACATCCTACCCCTCTACCAAGATGGTCATTGTTACTCTGCACACTTTTACTCTGCTTGCTGCATCTTCTTTGGTTGACATTCCCAAACAGGTAATTCTTCCTAATTAATTTATTCAACTTAAATTACATTTAAAAACCTCAGATTCTAGCTGATGTCAAAAATAAATCGTGATAGATATGCTAGGATGGATGCTCCTATGTGCTGTAGGAAAGCAGCAGCAGTTTCCAGGGTATTCTTTATTTTTTTCCCCTCTCTGGCCCCACTTCCAGATAATCCCATCAAACACAGAAACCCTTCTTTACAGATTCATAACCTGTCTTTTTTCCAGATCAGCTGGGACTGAAATTAACTAGGATCAATCAGCACTTAGGAAAGCAAATACTCTGGCTTTTTCTGAGAGCATTTCATCTTACCTGTAGAACCCAGGCTTCACTTCTCACTGCTGTATATTCTCTTGGTTCATGGGTGTGTCTTTTGCCTTCTTTGTGTGCAAGCAGATTAATATTTCAGTAGCATAGAGGGCATTTAAAAATGTGTTTCTTGATGAACTCTGAAAAGTTTGAATCTGTTGCTATAATCTAGGACTATAAACCAAGTTATGGGAAAACAGTGGAAAAAAAAACAGCCATGGAGAGGCTGGGTAGGGGCTGTTTTTGTTTGGTTGGGGTTTTGGGTTTGTTTTTGGCAACTACTGAGACATACAAAGTATGTCTGTGTTATTGTCTGTTAACTGCAGATCACGCAGACACTCAGATTAGTTAAGTATTCTGGGCATTTGGCACTAGTAGCGTAATTATGACAGTGTAAGGTGTTTACTGAGCTTCTTGGGGGTATTTTATGGTACTTCTGAGAGTGCTGAAACACGTCTCAAGGTTTCTTAGGTATGCATGGTGATGTAGAGTAGGCTGTGTGAACAATAAGAGCAGGTAGAAATTGGCTATCGGACTGTTTTAGCTTGCCATGGCATCAGAGCCTAAGCAAGAGCCTTTCTGTGTGGCAGGCAATCGGACAGATAAGGCAAGGTAGTTTTGGCAGAGAATGCTCAAAATTTCTTCATGAGTACTTCCTAAAATACTTCCTTCTAGTAGCATTTATCTCAAACAATGAATTTACTTTGTTTCAGATCCAGCTTTTGTTGCAATACTTGAAGAATGACCCCAGGAAGGCTGTGAAGAGGCTTGCCATCCAAGATTTAAAGTTGTTGGCCAACAAGACACCACATACGTGGAGCAGAGAAAATATTCAGGTTTGTACATTTTAAAGCTAAAGTTTATGATGAAACTTTGCAATTAGTTGTAGAATTGTTTCCAGAAGAGCAATTTGGGAGGTAAAATAAGAAAGAACATACATCTCCATATCCCTATATCAGGGTACTCTGCCAAGCAGAGTAGCCAACTATTGGTGAACACTTAATAGAACATCTTGAGTTAGATAAGTTGACCCATGAGGATCAAAGCCAAAGTATTATACCCGAGGAAGGGCGTGTGTCATGTTGTATGTTCTTACCATAAAAAGGCCTAACCTTTTCCATCTGACAAACTGATCTAAAATAATAGACGTGAGAGCTGAATGATTACGTTAACCTGATGATACCGAGTATGTATTTATGCTCTTGTGTAACATAGAGTCTCTCTGGAATTTGTCAAAGCATCCAGCATTTGCCGTCCAGCAAGGTATACCTGAAAGGACATAGGGCATTTTGACTTCATTTGTTAGGATTAATGGCTCGATTTCAATAGTCTCCTTGTTGCACCTGTTGCATGAAGGAGACCCTAAAAGGTGTTTATAATGCATGTGTATTATTTGGGGAAACAGTTGTTACATTGTAGATAGGATTGCTGCTTTCATTCAGTCACAGCTGCATATAAACACTTTCTTCCCCTTGACTTTCCCTTTTTTCTGGTAGAAATGACTGTAGAAGAATAAGATTCTAATGGGAAAGTAAATATTTCAAGAACTTAATGATATGGGTTTATAGCTCTATTTTTCTGGGGTTTTTTTCTTTGCTGTTCTTGGAAACTACTTTTGCTATGTGCTGTTGGAGGATAAGACAGCTGGGAGGAAAAACTGCAGATTTTTGTTAATAATTCTGTGCGAATAAAGCACCTCTTGCTTTGCCTCCAATTCTTAGATAAGATGATTTGGAGTGTGCAGAGGCTTTTGTTTTAGTGAAGTGCTTTACTCTTCATAATGGATTAATACCAGAAAATTATTTCCTTTTAGGAATGTTAAGAAATTGCTTTAATTATGGATTCTTTGCAGTCAAAATGGTACTCTAAACCATTATGCCTGATTGGTAGTTATCTCAACATGTTAGAGACACTGATAACATGGTTTTCATTGTGATGTATTGTCTTAAAGTAGGTGTCCTGATGGTTGAAAAGTAGGAAAAAGTTCCATTGATGTCAGAAAAAAAATTAATTGCCTGAAGCTTGTTACTGCCTGCTGAATGGCATGCAGAAGGAGAGTTTTTCTGACTTCCAAAAAGTCAACATTTTGACTTTCCATATATTTTCTATATATTTAAATAAGTTGGTAATGTTTATACAACAGGGACTGGAAAAGACCCTTCTTTTCTCACAGCAAAACCTGCTTCTTGTATCTTTTTACCAACAAGAGTTTCAGCAGTGTTAACTACTTCAGCATTTTGGGTCTGTCTGTGTAGGTCACATAGGAGGCTTGGTCTTTGAATTGTGGAGACTTCACTGATTTCTAGACATCAGCTTTAGAAGCTGTTGATGCTTAGAGCAGTCCTATTGACTGTGAAGGTAACAAGCAGTCTGTGGTCCATCCTGCTTTTTTTTGTGGTCCATCCAATCTTCTGTACTCCTGGAATTCTTCACAGTTACTGTTTCAAATATGCCCTGAGTGGTGATCTAATAGTACTGGAGTAAAACATCAGTGTCTTGGGAGACATCAAGATTCATTTTCAAGCCTAATCATTGTACCTTCTTCTGTCTGTTGATGCCATGCTATTCAGTAGATTAGCAAAATACTATGTTGGTACAAATTGCAAACTTATTTAGAATTTAATCCTTACACTGTACAAGAATAAGAACACTATTTGGGGTTTTTATTTGTTCTGTGAAACTAGTTCTGTGTTGTTTTTTCTTTTATTCAGCTTTGACAGTCTCTGAGGCAGCAGTATAAGACAGAAATGAAGTATACTCTTTCTCTCACATTGACTAAAAAAGCCTCCAAAGAGAAACTTAAACTTTTGTATTTTGTTGGACAACAGGACTTGAAGTAAATGACACTTGAAACTTTGCTCTTCAGAGACATATACTTATATAAACCCCTGCAGATTGTTATAAGACAAAATGATCAGTGTGCCTCATACTGGAGAACTGTCTTAAATTCTTGTGCAATATTTGATCAATGAGAACTGATAATATTTTTGCCACTTATTTTTAATTGATAAGTGACTTATAATTGGTGTCTCATAGCATATGAGGCCCACTGTCACTTTTCTGCAAGTTATGTCCTCTGTCTACAAAAACAGATGCTTCAGGACATAATTTCTAAGTTTTGATTTCAGTATAGTATTTTCTGTGGAAAAATCTTGACTCTCAAAACTCTTCACAGACAAGTGCAGCTAAATGTTTAATACAGAGAGCTCATTGGACTCCTTTCCTTCTGCATCTTTTCTCCTGCTAATCTTTAGGCTCTCTGTGAATCTGCTCTTCACACTCCTTACGACAGCTTGAAACTGGGCATGCTCTCTGTTCTTTCCACGCTCTCGGGGACCATTGCCATTAAACAGTACTTCAGCAGTGCTCCAGGTAAGAAGGCTAGATTATTATCTTTGGCATTTTTAATGGCTTGGCTGTCTACCAATAATGAGTTCCATCGAAACACTTTGTAGCATGTTCTTGAACTATTTTTGAACTTCAGAACACTAGCTGAGAGTCAGATTGTGTTCATTGTATGTAAACTTAAAATTTGATACTGTATACCCATGCATAGTTATGGTCTAAGATTTTATTCTGGATTTTGTGGGTAGTATGCTATATGAAAAACATTGTCTTCAACTTTTCTTCATTTTATGAAGAAATGTAATGCCTCTCAGATGGCTGACATGTGTCCTGCTTAAGGTGCTTTGAAACCATGGATTTGCATAGTTTTTGAGTAGTGTGGAGAGTAAATGGCTTTAGAGTGGGCTGGCGTGTTACCCTGGCACAGTCAAGCTATGCCACCCTTGTGGGAATAGCCTGGTTTGGTACCAGGTGGACCTGTCTGCCTTGTGACTATTCTCTGGTGGAATTTTAGACATTTTAAAGTGATTCAAGGTATTTTGTTCATAAAATGGTGATCGTACTGTTTTCTTTTTTCTTGAAAGCCAGACTGCCCTAATGAGTATTATGAGCCCAACTACATGGGCTTGCAGAAATGGAGAAAAGTAGTACATCCTCTTAAGTCATTTTGGCATGTCTTGATAATTACCATGCTTCCTGACTTTTTTTAATCAGATATAATGTTTCTTAAGGGAATATTTCTTTGAGACCCTGAAACATCAGCCTTTAGACCCAAATATTCTTTCTCAATGTATTTCTAATTTGTATGATGTTCAGGAATGGAGGGAGGGCCTCTGTGTGTGAAGAGAGAGAAAGATATGTTTTCATAAAGTCATAGAATGGGTAAAGTTGGAAGGGACCTTAAACATCATCTAGTTCCAACCCCCCTGCCATGGGCAGGGATGCCTCCCACTAGACCAGGTTGCATCTTTTTTAAACATGTATTGATTTAGGATTTTTTTTTACAAGTTCTTTGTAGAAATGTATACTTGAAAAGATCTGTGGTGTAATTATAAACTGTGCTGTTTGATGTCTTGTTTACCTTGTCTTTATCTAGGAACGGCAGCTACAACTGTGAGATCATTTGATTTAGTAAAACTAGCCCAGGAGTGCTGTTACCATAATAACCGTGGCATTGCAGCTCATGGTGTGAGAATTCTGACTAATATATCAGCCTCTTGTCAGGAAAAAGGTAAATGGAAGCAAGGATAATGAAATGTGTGCACTTAACAGGTATTAACTGGTCTTGTCTGTAAATCTGTCTGATCCTTCATGCTGGTTACGGAGAATTGGGACTACAATTTATTGGAAAATATTCTGTATGATTTTATGAACGGTTGGGAAGATTCCATCTTCGTCAAATTTTCAGAAAACTACTGGGCACGGTAGAACTTGTGGTAAATAAATGCTTGTCTTGTCTTTACTGTAAGACTAGCGAATTGTTTGTCAACCTTTGCAAACTCTTTGCACAAAGTCTGTTGCAAAAGAATAACAGGGTATTTAGACATCTTAGTCCAGAGATTTATTCACGTTTTACAAATATCACAGTGTGACTGCTGAGTAGTTACCTGAGACATGAAATGGCAGAATTGTTTCTGATCAAAATGAGGTAAGGCAGAATATTAGGAAGATACTTATCTGTCGTGACTGCAACATCAGTTCAAGCATTACACCAGTTATGGTCAGAAGATGTAACAGGGAACTAACTTACTTTTTTTTTTCTTTTCTTAGATCTTTTGCCTCTGGAGCAAGATGCAGTTTTTGGCTTAGAAGCTCTTCTTGTTCTTTGTAGTCAAGATGACAGTCCAGGAGCTCAGGCAACCTTAAAGGTGTGGTTACTCTTGTCTTCCCTTAGCACAGCTGTACATTAGAGTAATAGCTTGTGTAACAAAAGGCTAGTGTGCACCAGATCCTTTCTGGTGGAAACATAATATAGTGGAAGGAAATTAAGGTTTTTCTATATTTTGCCTGTAATCAGAGTTCAGAGCAGAAGAGAAACTGAGCACAGCTATAGTGCAACTCCTCTCAGCTCTAGAGTAATTTGATTGTTTCAGGGGAAAAAAATGCATTCCTCTGAGGAGTAGCTCTAATAAAACATGAACTTGAACATGGGATGGAGGTGTCTCTGGAGGATGAAGAGAATCTTGCAGAGAACCTGTTTTTTGGAGATGGGAATGCAATATATGTGATTAAAAATGATTGTCTATAGAAGTATTGTATTTTCCCTCTTCATGAGCTGCATAACCAGTAATTTTATCTAGTTATTTCCCTGTAAAGACTGGTAGTATGAGAAAGAAGGTTATTGTTTTTTGAATTTGTGATATGTTTCTGTGCGGTGAGCACAGGCTGAGAGGCTTGGGGTCTTAGAAAAGTCTCATCTTTTGCAGAGTATGTGGTTCTGCAATCATAATTGCAGATAAGTGTCTGGCTTTTTTATTTGTGAGTAGCCATTGTGTTTATTGTGCCTGTTGGCTGTGTGATTTGCAGATCACGTTAACTTGTATGGTGAAGCTGGTCAAGTGCCGTCCTCACCTGAGCCAGTCGGTAGTTGAGTCCCTGCTGACCCAGCTGCACAGCGCCCAGGACACCGCCAGGATTCTCATGTGCCACTGTTTAGCAGCTATTGCCATGCAGCTGCCTGTCCTGGCAGATGGGATGCTGGGAGACCTAATGGACCTCTACAAATTAATTGGCCGGTCTGCCACAGATAAAAAGCAGGAACTCTTGGTAAGATCACCTTCTGGTGAAAAGCCTTTTTAAATTACTGTGGATAGATTTTATTTTTAAAAGCACCTAAGCCTTTTTGTGATGTCCAGGTTGGTGTGCCAGTCTTCTATAGCCACTATTTTCAGCTTTGCTTTAACTTTTGACTACGTATGTCAGTGTTCAATGTTGGAAATTCTATCTCATAGGTGGACCTGAACTATGCAGTGTATTCCATTAAACTTTCCAGCAGATGGCACTGCTTAGACAAATCTAGGGATTGAAGTTGTTGGACTATCTGTGAAATAGTGGTTATAGGAAAAACAAAATGGCAGTTAGCTCAATTTATGTTTGGTATTCCAATTCACATGATCTTTAATATACTGTAAGAGATAAAAATGCTTTTATCACATCTATTTGGAAATGAATTTGAATTTTAAGAAATTACAAGTGTCCTGTTAACTCATTTGGAGCATTCGAAATATCTAAAGCCACAGTAAAGATTCTTTAAATGAAAGTTACTTTTATCTACAAGAAATACTTGGTTGCCATAACTATTTAAAAGGTACATGACGGAGAAAAGTTCCTCAGTTAAAATGTATATGTAATCTTCTATGTAGCTTTGAGTCCAAAATAAAGATCATTTCTGATAGTTTAGGAAACAGAATTGGCTTTTTTTTCCCCCTTGTTTTTAGTTCCTGAGATATAACCCTCTTCCTCACCCCTCTACTTTTCATTAGGTTTCTCTTGCGACAGTGATATTTGTTTCCAGTCAGAAAGCTTTATCTTCAGAAGTCAAAACTGTTATCAAACAGCAGCTTGAGAATGCCTCCAATGGATGGACAGCCTACAGGATAGCCAGGCAGGCTTCCAGAATGGTAAGTGACAAAACCTGGAGGAAAAAGGTTTGGCATGGTTGGAAGGGTGCTGCTGATTTCTTTGAAGTGGAAAGAGAAAGTAAGGAAAATGGGACTTCAAAGGAGGAAATTATTGGGGGAGGAGGGGCGGAATTTTCCCTTTTAATTCCCTGGAATGCTTATTCAGACATATACCATTTAGGGCAGTTGTCCCATCAGAATGGTTTTTCACTTGTCTTTTTTGAAGCATTTGAGAAGGAAGAAAGTAATGACCTCATACTTTCTTGAGCACATGCCTAATTTGCATTGTCAAACTGTTCTTTAGAAGGTGATATGAACCATCCTGATGTGTGCTTCTCTTCTTCAATGTGAAGAGAGGAAGAAAATCTGTTTCTCTTTTCCCTTCAGTAAAGTCAGAGCTGGGGTTAGAATTACACAGAAACCCTAGCACAAGATGCTGGGGTAAAAGTAAATTTTTAGGCTTGTTTCTTATCTTATTGAATTATCTGGTGTAAATACATGCTATACTTTACACAGGCTGATAATTCCATAAAAGAAGCATTTGTGCTTTTATTTACTGATAGGATTTTCATGAGCAAATGATTGAAAGTTTCACTATTTGGATTTTTAAAGTAAGAGTAGTTCTGGAGATCTTACTGTTCTCTCTGTTTCATAGAAATACACAGATTTCTTTCATGTCCCCTCTTGGAAACATTCTTGTCGTTACAGGGCAACCATGACATGGCCAGAGAACTGTATCAAAGCCTCCTGACTCAAGTGGCCTCAGAACACTTCTACTTCTGGCTGAACAGTTTGAAGGAGTTCTCCCATGCAGAACAGTGCCTGACAGGTTTGCAGGAGGACAACTACAGCTCAGCACTTTCTTGCATTGCTGAAGCTTTAAAATCCTATCACAAAGGAATAGCGTCACTGACGGTTAGCACAGATCTTCTACTTTTGTGATGATATTTCTGTGTACTGCAAAGGGGCTGTTTGGTTTCTCTTCTTAAACTTCTGAAAAGTTTTTAAAGTTTCTAACATCTGCCAGGCCCTCTTTTTGAGAGGTCTGGAGGGAAGAGCCAGTTGTAACACACTACATCTTCAGAGAGGAGAAATGTAGCTCAGCTAAGTGTGATTAGCTACATTTCTCTTTTCTTCTCCACCTCCCCACTTCCTTCCTTGATCAAGTAATGTGTATGACAGATCTTTTTTTTTTTTAAAGTTACAGTACTTAAAATTTTCTTCTCCTTGTCTTGACTGAGTAAATGCTATTGTAGTAGTCAAGCCTGGGAATTTGTCTAATTGGCTGCTATCTTCTTGAGATACGGAGGACGATTTAATTGCCTTCCTCTGCTGCTGAGTTTGTTGCCTTGTATTTGACACTGTGATCCTATGGAATCCTAACAACAAGGCAACTCCAATTTAGTAAGAGGAAGGAGGACAATTAAATCTCATCAAATCAGCAGAATTCAGATACTACCTACTTCTATACAATACTTCCTGTTTCTCTGAAGTAGTGAAAATGGCAAGAAGCTGTGTGTGTGATGTCTGTGAGCATAATCAAAAAAAGCATTAATGGATATAGACCTTCAGTTCTTACTAAAGTTGCTGCTTAATGAAAGATGATCCAGCTTCACACAATGCTTTATTTCATATTTTAGTTTCCAAAAAGTAACCTTTGCATAAAGTTTTCTGTATGTCTTTTGAATGAAGCTCATTACTGGAATTGTCAGTGTTATGACAATTCAGGTATTAATGTTTAATAAAATTCAGATATTACTGTTTATTAATAAATGTCCCTGAATAAGCAGGAAGGATGTAAATTTTACATCTTTACATCATGTCCTCTGAGAGAAAGTTCCATTATTACTGAAGTATTTGTCTTTAACTTGTTGGCAGAGTGAATAAGCCTTTTAATTCAGCATTTCAAGATGCTGTAATGTCTAGAAGACTTTGAGATTTAGACCTCATCTAATTAGATGTTAATATTTAATACAGTCAGAAGAATAACCTGCTTAAATAGGTCATTCTGTGATTCAGTAATTTCATTAGCCTTTCCCTAGAGTTTGGGGTTTTTCTCTGTTGAAGGATTCTTGTCCTCATCTCCTCTGCTGACTTTTTCCTGCACATTGCACATAGGTATTGCTCCCAGAAAAGCACTTCCTGTGGGTTGTTGTGGTCCAGAGGAGTAAGTACAGGTTTCAGAGGGCTAGAGAAGAGGAAACTGGGTTTTATTGCTGGCTGTTGGTGACTTGTTGCATCACTCTGGATGAATTCCTAACCAGGCTTGAGTGTATCAGCTGTAAAAGGAGCCACTCACTGCTTGCTTTTGCAGAACTCAGCATCTCAAAGGGGAGCAAAGTGCTATAAGTGTATGATAGTCTGACTGCTGAAGACTTTTGGTGTCTCTTCCCTCTGGCTTCACATTTACCATTGCTGCTGTTTCAGTGCAGAGTATGACTCGGCGCTGGTGGTACCGCAGAGCGTTAGCGCGTGTGATGGACCCTGCGTAGCTGGAAGACTCTGTGCCAGTAAATCTGTTGCAGATGTTCAGTCAGCACAGTTTAGCAATGACATAATATTCAGACAGTGCCTGATCTTGTCAGAAAATTTCTCAATTGCTTCTTGATAGACATGCAACTGTCTTGCATTGCTGTATGCAAAATGTTCTTTCATGTGGGTTAGTCCATCTGAGGAAAAAAAAGTCCCATTACTTGATGGATGAGGTGGGGGGGAGGCCAGGGACTTATAGAGTGTATTGGCCACAGTCCCCATCTGTCTCGCTGTGTACTTGCTTGTACAGTTAGCAAAGGTTTTGAATAGGACCTGCTCTTTCTGGCACAGAACACGCATCACATTGGTAGCATTGTGCTTATTTTTCACTGCTGGTAATCTAGAGAAGATTCAGAGCACTAATATAACCATTGAGCAGAGCACTAATATACCTGTTGATTGAGCGGCACTAACTCTATGTTGGTAGCAAGTGGTGGTGTTTGAAGAACTTGGCTGAGCCAAAGAGCTCTTTCTGTCACTTTCAAAAAAGAATTGTAACTCATTTATTGCCCCGTGCTTTATGGGTAGCAGATAACGTAAATTGCAGTATTAATGAGACAAGCTTGTATTTCCATTTACAAGAATGGAGTCCAATTTGTGCGACTAAAACCGTCTGAGTTTCCTGATATAAGTACTGGTACTTCACTCTCTGTAAAAGCATGTAGTCTCTGTAGAGCAATTACAGTGCAGTGAGATCTCTTCCACAGAGGGTTTTCTGAAACCACCCTTGCAGAATAAACTGAAAAATTTCTATTCAAAAGGGTTTTTTTTTTTTAATGCCCTTGGAGAAGAGAAAGCAAAGTGGTAGATAAGAGGGGCTGAATGGCTCAAATGATGAAATACTCTTATTTCTGTAGTTCAAATCTGTAGTTTAAAGTGGCTGCAGTTGGCTGATGTTTCCTCACTTTAGTCAATAGCGGGCCAGTTTTCAGAAGGCATCATGTTTTGTGAAAAACTAGTTTGCTGCCTTCTGGCTGACAAAGGAATGATTCCTAGCAAGGTTTTGGGATGGGTTATAGTTTCTTCCTTCCAGAAGTGACATTTTCTGTTGAGAAATAAGAAGCACTGGGGAAGACACGTGTGAGTTTAACATACCTCTATTCTATGAGTAAGAGAAGGTACCAGTGCTTTGTTTTGCAGATGGCTTTTCCCCCAAAGAAAAAAGTGTACTCTTCTCAAAACCCAACAGCGTAAGAGAAGTAAGTGGTGCAGTTTTGGCCTAACTAGTATCAAATCTTGAGTGCTGCAGTCTGCCTCCTCGGTGTCCTAAGCTGTCAGAGATGTTTCTGCAAGTCACATAAGTTCTTAGGGAGCAAAGTTTCACAGAACCATATTTTCTAAGTAAAAGCAGCATTTCTACTCTCCTGGAGTTCTGTTATTTACTGTTCTTAGTTGTCACTGAACTGTGTCTCTGCCTTTATCAAATGCAAGGTTCAGTGCCTTTGGAATGTTCCTGTCTGTTTCAGCATTCCAGAAAAATCAAAGGTTATCACCCCTTCCTCTTGCTGCAAGTAACTTTAGCTATTTTTTTCTCTTCTGGCTGATGCAGAGAATCACTTTTTCAGTCTTTTGTGTTTCTGTTTGCTTTCCAATTCAGTGTGCTCTCTTATTGCAAGGACTGTCTGGAGTGATGTCCTTTGAAGCTTAATGACTTGGCCTTGGAAAAAGAATAAATAGATGCCCTAATAGCATTGTAACAGCTTAAGTCACATTTATTACAAGGATGATACACTTGAAATATGGCTTAGTAATTACCAAACTTTAGTATGATTTATATTCAGTATGATTTAAATTGAGCCAACTTGTTAAATGTAGTTTTAAAAAAACAGCTTTTATAATTTAACTGAAGGGTTCAGTTGTCTAATGAGACAGTTCAGTGACATTGCAAAGTTATTTTATCATGTTTGCTTTTGACCCAGATTGCCAACATTCCTATTACTGTGTTTCAGGCTGCTAGTACGCCTCTTAATCCTCTGAGCTTTCAGTGTGGATTTGTGAAACTCAGAATTGACCTTCTGCAAGCTTTTTCTCAACTTATTTGTACCTGCAACAGCCTAAAAACAAGTCCACCACCAGCTATTGCCACAACGATTGCTATGACATCAGGAAATGATCTGCAAAGGTGTGGGCGCATCTCTAACCAGGCAGGTGTTCTTGTTTCACTCTTGTGCAGTTATGTTTATGACTCTGGTATAAATTTTGCTTCTCAGCAAGCTCATCTGACAAAATCAATGAGAAGTGGTAGTGAAGAGTTTTTGCTAAGTAGTGGGCCTTGGTTTTCACCTGTAGCTTTAAAAAACATCTGCCCATAGCGGGCCATTTTTTGGAGCTGAGTGTGTACATAGGTTTTCTCATACTTTTCATGTGCACAGCTTCCAAGGATATGCATGTAGTAAGCCTCTCGGTACACTCAAACTTGCAGTGAGACCTTTCACACTTTGTTTTGAAATGCCTCACATACTGTGATTATACTAAGGAAGAATATATACTTTAGGATCCTACTGCAACTCCTTTGAGTGTTGGCAATTGACTTGATACTCTACAGAACACCCAGATAGCCTGTTTCTAAAATGCATCTAGTCTGCAAGAAGGAATCAGTGGGTAGTCTTTGAAAGGTAGAGCAGTTTGATTTACCAGTAGGGGATGAGGGAGGTTGTTGGTGAGGTTTTTTGGGGTTTTTTGTTTTGTTTTTTATTTGTTTGTTTGTTTTTTAAACTCAAGGAGGGTATGTTGGTGCTGTGTTACAGGAAAAATACCTGTTTAATGCATGGATAATACTTTGTTACTCTGATTTTTATCTGTGTGGAAAAAGTGTATTTTTCCAGAGTATCTTGTCTTATCCCTTCAGTGTTGTATGTTATAGTATAGTGGTGTTCTGGATGTGTGGGGTTTTGTTTGTTTTGCTTTGATTTTTTTTTTTTTCACTAGTAACATTGTCTCTGTAGATGAAACACTCAATGGAGGAATTCCGAAACCTGGCTACACGGTATGGAGACCTGTATCAGTCATCTTTTGATGCGGACTCAGCAACTCTAAGGAATGTAGAACTGTATCCTTTTAAAATCATAGAATTTGTATGCTTCTCATGAGGACAGCATGAAGCTTAACAGTCCTCTTTTCTATAAAGACTGGCACAAAGTCATTTTGAAGCAGTTAGTACCATAAAAATTAGGCACCAATTGCTGAAAACCTATTTGGAAATGAACATTGCCATACTATTGTTTGGAATTATTTATAAACAAATTATGACACAAAAATTGCAACAGCATAAAACTTGGGATTTTTATAGTTCTTGCTCTGTTTACTAAAGGAGTAATGACTGTAGGGTTATTTCACAAAAGCTAGAGAAATAAGTGCCAGTAAGTATACTCCATTTCTTGTTTTAGGTGCCAACTTTTAAAGTTTTTTAACTCCTTAGTATTAATATCAGACAACAGCAGAGCTGCCTGTTGATTTCACATGCAATAGAAGCTCTGATTTTGGATCCAGAATCTGCAAGGTAGCTTTGATAGTTAACTTTCTACTCCTTTGCTATTTATTTCTGATTCCTTGGGGCTTTAAGCCTGGGAATTCAAAGAATGTTCAGAAAGTTTCTCATTAGACTCTTCTATTTCTACTCGGGGCAGGCTGTAGGACCTGTTGCTGTGGTGCTATACCTGGCAGGTTGGGGACTGTGTTTTGGGTTCTGAATTTTATACTGATTTTGCACTTGAAGACAAATCCAACATAATGTTCTCAATATAGACTTGCATTAAAAAATAAAAAAACAACTTTTAATCTCTTCTTTAGTCACCTATTTTAACTTGTGTTGTTCTGTGTTACCTCCCATACCTACTGTTTCCACTTGTAAGCACACATTAGTTTCCTTCAGAGCCCTGAAAACATATGCACTAAATTGGTTTAAACTTCTAATATAAATTCATCACCTCTGGCTCTTTTTTAAGAGTGGTCTTACCCACTAAAAAATCATGTTAAAATGCCTATAAATTGAATCGCTCTAAAACTGGCATTCTTGATTTTCCTTGAGTTGTGGGACTTTTAAAAACATAAACACTGCAGACTTAAATAAAAGCTAGGGGAAATTAAGTGTGCTTAGTCTGTTAGATCTGTAACTGCTTCAAGTGAGAGAGGGTGGGGACAGAAAGTGATGGATAAACTGTGGTTAAGAAAGGGTTTAAATGTAAAGCACAAGACTTACAGTGGAAAAAAAAATAGTAAAGAAACAGTGAACAGTCTGAAAGCCATAATTTTTTCTTACTGGATTTCAAGTTGTAACAGAGGATGGTTTTGTTGGGCCTGTTTGAGAGTGAGCCTCCCAGATTACAATGAACATAGATAGGATGAAAAGTTTTATTTTTTAGTTTCCAGGAATATAGCTCAAATGGAACAGCACATGTCGAGAGTGAATATGAAAGAAGAATGATGTCTGTATTTAATCATGTACTGGAAGAAGTGGAATCCCTCAACAGGAAGTATGCTCCTGTGTCTTACTTGGTAAGTAATGGTTTTAAATGTATATTCTGTAGACAAAGGTTCCAGAAACTCAGCAACTCCATGTGTCTATGGTGGTCAAGAAACTGAAGAGCACACTTAGTTGATTAACATAACCTCTTACTGGTGCAAATCGTCTCTGTGGAGACTCACTACTTCAAAAATAGTTAAAGGTTTGACAAGACATCTGTAACCACGCTCTCATTCAAATACTGAAGTCTATTTTCTTTGCTCATGCTCTTGTCATGAAGGAATTCTTCCCCTACCACACACAGCACTTGGAGGGTCCAGCAGGAGCTTAGCTTTGGTCACTGAGCTGTTGGCAGTTAATACTGTGTTTTGTGAGTGTAGTGTTTCTCTTATCGATGCAGGTCATCGGAGAACACAATGTAAAGTGTGCTGAATGCAAACACTGAGCTGATAAATGTACTCCTTTACAGGGCTAGTATGGTTTTGTCTTTTACTGTTAGTGAACGTTGTAAAGCTGAAGTGCTTGTTGATGGGAACAATGTAGTTTATTTTTCAGTTGTCGTGATTCGCATCTATTTGCCTTGTTTCTAAATTCAACAGTCCTTACTGATTCCAAATAGGAGAGAAGAATGAGTTGTGTAAGACAAAGCAAAAGTAAACTGTGTAAACTTAGTTGTCACTGGCTCCATATCAGCGTAGCTCAGTGACTTCAGTAGCGCTGCCTTGGCTCATCTGAGCCAGAAGAACAGCATAGTGCAGTGGGGAAAGGCAGAGTAGTCAAGAGGGTTAAAACTTAACTGTTGCATCGCATTAAATTGTGGTAAATGCCAGTCTTGTTTGCTTGGAGAGGAATTGTTTATTTGAGAGTTTGTGTGTGACTGTTTCAAGCAGATCCTGCTCTGCTGACTCTTAACACTACGACTGAAATGATTTGGATTTTTGTTTTTCTTGGCCTCCTTGTCCTTTCTGGAGCAGAATACCTTCTCCATAAAGGGCAGAACATAAACAGAGAGGCTGAATGTAGTCACTGTCATCATAGTGGCTGTTATTCTATGACTGTATCAATATATTTCTGGACTTCTAGTGGAAATTACTGCAATTTCAGTACCTCAAGTGCACATCTTTTTTCCTATGCTATGAATATTATTTTCTCAACTGTTTTGGCTCTGTTTCTTACAGCATACGGCTTGTCTGAGCAATGCTGTCATTGCATTGTTGAAAGTACCCCTTTCATTTCAAAGGTACTTCTTCCAAAAGCTGCAGTCTACAAGTATTAAGGTAAGTACTGCTGAAATGTGGCCTAAAACTTCTCTGTAAAGAGTCTTTGCTTCACGAGAAAAGCTTTACTGAAGGCACAAAGCTTCTGCTTTTTAGTGAAGATACTTAGCAAATAGTATCCGTGTTTGTCTGTTAGGAATAACTTGAATAATGTGTACATATGATCATTAAGAACCACTAGACTGTGACTTGGGCAAGTAGGATTCGGTTCTTTTGATTGCAAAGCCTTAAAGATAAAATCTAACTGGAATTTTTATTGATTCTGAGTCTGCAATGCTAACCCAGTTAGATTTTATCTTTAAGGCTTTTCCTTTAAAAAGCAACGTCTCAGATGTAAGTTCTGTGTTTCCATTTGCTGGTTTTCCTACCAAACACCTCCTTGGAAATTTTTCTATAAGAGGGTCATCTGTTTCATCCTTGAGTTCTTTGTTTTTCTGGAGGCATAAAAGTACATTTTAGTCTGTTTTTCTTGTTTCAGCTTGCTCTGTCTCCATCCCCGAGGAACCCAGCAGAACCTATTGCAGTACAGAACAATCAGCAATTGGCCCTAAAGGTGGAAGGAGTGGTTCAGCACGGATCTAAACCAGGCCTTTTCCGTAAAATCCAGTCTGTCTGTTTAAATGTCTCTTCAGTGCTGCAGAGCAAATCTGGACAAGACTATAAGGTATGGATAGAACAGAGCCAGGAGGAGTCTATAAGTTTTCTTGCTGTATTTTCCTGCTCTCTTGTTTGGCTCTGGCTAGCAGAATTTTTCACATTGAAATGAATGGGTTCTTCTGTAATCCTCTCACTCTTGACAGGTGACTCTCAAAGACTGGCCAGAGCCAGGCACAGTGCATGGAAGGGATCTGGGATTTTTAAGTGTGCTGTATGTGGATATGTTTGTACTAGTTTTTCTTCCAAGCAAAAGAGGCTTTGTGATGTTCAGAGCAAGTCATTAGGAATGTGCTTGAGATGAGGAAATTTTAACATAAGTATATATCATATGGAACTCTATACAGAGAAAAATAGGCAGGAGTAGATTATTCTCTACCACATAGTCTCTGGAGCTTCTTTATTCTCGTTTTAAGGTGGATTTTGTTTGCGTGTGGAAATCGTAAGGACAGGCTGTCAGAATTAAATAGCACCTGAGGAGATGCATAGGAAATTCAAGTCAATGGTTTTACAAAAAATCGCATGTCTGAAGTTCAGGTTCTGCTACTGTGTGACATTTAGTGAAAGAACTGTTTTGGTCCATTTTGGGGTTGGTTTTTTATTTGTTTTTTTTTGAGGGGGGGAAAAGTCAGTTGCTTCTGAAAGAAAAACAAGACTAGGAAGTATGCATTGTTTGTCTGACTCTTATTACTCTATGGAAAGCTAGGACCTTGAGGAGAAAAAGACTTGTTAGATACCTTGCTTCTGTAAATAAATCTAAAAGAATTCATTCATTGATGAAAAAGCATATCAAGGTGGCTCAAACATGCCCATCCATTGCTTTAGGAAAATTGAGGACAAAGACTTTTTTCTTTCCTCTTTCAAACAGAGAGCAGACATTTTATTTTAGCAAGTTTATATAAAATGGCATTTTTACCTTCCATGTGTTCTCAGATTCCTATTGACAACATGACCAATGAAATGGAGCAGAGGGTGGAACCACACAACGACTACTTCAGCACTCAGTTTCTGTTAAACTTTGTGATACTTGGCACCCACAACATCACAGTAGAGTCCTCTGTAATAGATTCAAATGGTATTGTCTGGAAAACGGGGCCTAAAACAACTATTTTTGTTAAATCTCTTGAGGATCCATACTCCCAGCAGGTTCGTCTTCAGCAACAGCAAGGACAGCCACCATCACAGCAGCAACAGCAAAGAACAGCCTACTCACGGTTTTGATTCCCAGCAGTGACTCTATCCCAGTCAATGGTATTACAGTTTTTTCTTGGACTCTCTTTTTGAAAGACCTACAGTTTTAACCTTCTAGGAAGTCTCAGATGACAATTTGTTGCTTTTTAAACTATCTGGAGTAAACTTGAACTTGATTCAGCAGAGGCAACTCTGTTCAAATCTGGAGTTGTGCTTTTAATGTAAGAACTTCTTCTACCTGATGCCTTCACTTCTGTTTACAAACCTGTTACAGCAGGCTTCAGAAACTTTGATAGCAGGGAACACTAACAGTTCTTTGACTAGTGTTTTCTGTACTGTCTTTTTTGAAGCACATAGGTTCTAATGTTAGGCTTACAGGACATCTGTAAACGCTTTGGCTAGTTACATAGAACTGAGTGTAATACCAAGTCTGTATCTTTTAACAGGAAGGAATTGGCAGGAATATCCAGAGATTTATTTTTTTTCTGACATTTTTAATAGAAACTTTCAGTATTTGGTTGGTGTATGTGTGTTATTACAATTCATCAGCACTACTTAGTGCACACACCTGAAAGAAAAAAAAAATTGCAGCTCACTTCTCATACCTAGTCATTGTAGAGGAAGGAGACTGCTTGAAGGGTTGCTGTCTGGGGAGTCTTACAAGAGGCAGAATTTTACAGGTGGGAACAATAACTGTTTCTCAGATGATATAGGAAAGATTACTATGTTGTTGTTGAATGAATCTTCGTGTATATCTGTTTTGGAAGGCTTTGGTTTTGTTGGGGGCTTTTTGTTTGCTTGTTGAAGAGCGAAATTATCTTGCAAGTTGTCATTTGTTTTAACTGCTTTGTTTTTTTAAAAAAGGAATTTTATATACCAAAGCTTTGTGGTCTTGTGTACTCTTTGACCAATTTAGTGATCTTAATTGTTACTTTTACAGGATAACTTGAAGGAGAATTTTGCCAATACTAGAAATTAATTCAGAGTAACTTTGGAAATATATTACTTCATACATAGTTTTCATGCTTCCTTTGAGATGTAAAAGGCTGAACTCGGCCTGTGTCTGGGCTCCCAGGCAATAGATCACATAACACGTCCTTCACCTGCTCCTCATAAATAATCTCTGCTTATCAGTGCAGGAAAGTAGGACCCACTTGAATGGGGAGGAGGGAAGAATGTCTTACAGACTTCAGTTTGTAAATGGTTTAATCCCTCTCATTGAAGCAGAAATTTTCATTTGTTGTTTTCTCAGTAAATTCCTAAGATATTGTTATTTCTTCAAGTTGATTTCACTGTAGATGCTGACTACAGCTTGCAGGTTCTGCTTGCTTTATATGCAGAGAATATGATAATGGATTGTTATAAGACTAGGTTTCTTTGGCATAGCTGGATGAAGAATTGTTTTCACTGTGTTTTCCCGTAATAGTTGCTTAAGAAATCAACTTTCTTCCTCTTGGCTTAAGATTAACTAGAAAAAAAAAGGATGAGATCATGGTAGATTTCATAGTGTCTTGGTCAGGCTACAATCCTAAACAGAAAAGATAATTGGGCAGCAAGGTGGAAATAGAAGACTCACAAAATTGGTGAAAAATTCACCATTATCCTTCTTAAACCTCATTTTTATTTTGTGCAGGAGACAGAAACCACCACTACACTTCAAGCTGGCTGAGGAAAATGGTGATTTCTATCCCCAATTCTATGGTTTTGTACTTAGTTTTTTAGGCGTGTGTGTATATATACACATACAGATTTGCATGCATACATGGACCTATAGCTACATGTAGTTGTGTGGTCCAGAAAGTTGATTCACCTAGAGTTGTGCATGCAAGTCTGTCAGATTGAGGACCTGAACTGTTTGTGGTTGGTTGCATTTTCCAATAAAGTCATAGATCAATGTCTTAACCACAAACTGTCTTTATTTTGATGCAAAAAGAAAAACAAACAAAAAAAAAAGGACTAAGAGGTCAAACTTTTTTTTTTTATCCTACATAAGAAATGTGTGTTTCTTGGTCTGTTGTTGACCAATATGTTGCTGGAAACCTGTGATGGAAGCATTGCAAAACAACTCAGAAATGAAATGAAGTTTCCACACTGGGGAGCAGACTTTTCTCATAAGTCATACAATGTTCACGGTGCATAGCTAAACTTATGAGAAGCCTAGTAGAAATAAACTTATCCTGAGGCTTAATTGTCTGCAAGCCCCAAGGATTAGCCCTGGTGCAGTTGAAAAAATTGTTTCTCCTCCAAACAAGTTTGTTTACCTGCTCTGAAAAGCCTCTAGAACTCCAGGAACCTGAATCAATTTTGGAGCCAGGCAAATAATAACTGAAGTCTGAAAATCTGGATGGGAGGTATGGGAGATTGCGGGGTGATGGTAAATGTCTTCTGGAAAATGGCAAGTAGTATTTATTGGAAATTAACTTGTATAGGAAGGTGGCTTGCTGTGCAAGTGTCTGAATTTCTAACAAACTCTGAAGGATTTCTCATGCTGGCTCACTTGCAAGTTAGTTATGTTGTAGAATTGTAGAATGGTTCTGGTTGGAAGGGACCTTAAAGATCATCAAGTTCTAACCATGGGCAGGGACACCTCCCACTAGAGCAGGTTGCTCATAGCCCCATCCAGTCTTGTCTTGAACACTTCCAGGGATGGGGCATCCACAACTTCTCTGGGTAACCTGTTCCAGTATCTCGCTGCCCTCAGCAGAGCAAAGAATTCCTTCCTTGTATCTCATCTAAATCTCCCCTCTTTCAGTTTAAAAGCATTACCCCTTGTCCTGTTGCTATGCTCCCTGATAAAGAGTCCCTCCCCATTTCTCCTGTAGGCCTCTACTGGAAAGCTGCTATAAGATCTCCCTGGAGCCTTCTCTTCTCCAGGCTGAACAACCCCAACTCTCTCAGCCTGTCTTCATAGCAGAGGTGCTCCAGCACTCTGAGCATCCACTGGACTCGTTCCATCAGGTCCATGTCCTTCTTGTGCTGAGGACTGCAAAGCTGGACACAGTACTCCATGTGGGGTCTCAGAGTGGAGTAGAGGGGCAGAATCACCTCCTTATATGTCCATGCTGATCAGGAAAGACCCTGGATCTGTTACTAAACTGTCCTTTTATGCAAGCACAGTATTTTACCTTATGAGGGGTTTGTAATGAGGTCATTGCTTGGGTGTTTGTTTTGTTTGTTTTCAAACATTGTGTATTTTTATTCCTAATAGACTGTGAAATACACTTGGCAAACAGGAACCAAGACTTTCATAGAAATCAATGACTCAACATACCCAAAGAGAAGTGGGGAAGGGTGTCACAGTTACAGCAACGTACCGAAAGCTGCTGTTGGAGCTATCAGTAGTGAATGTGATCCTTGACTATTAATAGAAGCAGGGAGGTTATCTTGCTTGAATCCTGCATTCCATTTCTGGTGCCTCTACTTGAAGGTGTGCAACAAAGAATCTAGAAAGTACTTCTATGATATGGACCCAAGTAAAATCTACATAGCATTTCTCAAGAAACAAAGCTGTAACTTGATCACCATGCATAGCTGTGCACAGATAATGGAAGGCACTTCAGATCTGTGCCACTTACTGGCAAAGGAAAGAAAATAGTCACTGGCTAGACCTTGGTCTTCAGGCTGCTGCTGAGCATTCAAACAACAAGGCGACTTATGCAGGCATCTACATCATTATCTAGTCTTAATGATTAAGATATGCTTTTATCTAGCTTTGATAAATTCTTGGGTTGGGGAAGAGTGGAGATGATCAAATTAAGATGACCGGAGGTATTCATAATACGTGCAGTTCTGCATTAAGGCAATAGGAATTGATGCTTAGGCTCTAGAATTTAACCTGACTTTTTCTCAGTGGATGATGTAGCCAGTTACTCTCAGAAGTACTTACTACTCACATTCTTGTGAATATGTGCTCAGACATACCAGAAAGTGTCATTTCTAGATTCCTGGCTGATCTCTTGCTCAAGGCAATGTGGAACTCAACAAGAAATTTCCTGTCAAATTCTGACTTACTCTGGAATTTAGAGTGCAATCTCCTGCTAAAATCATTTAAGTGTGTTTTGTAAGTGACTCCCTGAAGTTGCACTTGTCATGGGTATTCATGGCATCTTAGATTTGCTTCCCATTTTTGTTTCCCTGGCTGTGCACTCATTTTATCTGAGGACTGAAATGCTTTCATTTAATTCTATGGCTTTTGTATTTTATAGTGGATATATGTATATCTTTGACTTAAATCCTGTGAAACTGTACAGGAATTGGACACTCTAGAAGCAAATTCAGTGGTCCTTTAACCATATGCATAAACTTTAAAAATTGTATTCTTTAGTGATGTCACAACTTCAGTTAAAAAACCAAAACAACTTATTGAAGGAATTGATAGGATTTGAATTAATTATATTGCATTCAGAAAATCTTTTTTGTGTGATGTTTATGTGTGTATATGCATAGAGAAAGAGAGATCTTGCACAACACAGTATAGAAGCATCTTGCCTTTAAAGTAGCTGTATTTCTCTTTTGGCTGTTATCTTTCTGCTGGCCTACAGTGTTTTGCTGTCTCCTTGGTCAGCATATTTACATGCATGTACTTCTAATACTTTGCAGCATCTTCTCAAAACAATCTGTTCATTTTGTGGCAGTGCAGGTGTGCTCGGGTATCTGCATTGCCCAAAGCAAGGTGGGGGGTGGAAATAAAGAAGGGCAGAGGGAGTGACTCCGTAGTCCTACCAGCTCACAAAGCAGTTCTGAGTTGAGTAGGGCCCAAGAACTGGTTGTTCTCTTTGCTCACCTGCTGTATCCCAGCATCCAGCACTATCGGAGATGCTTTTGCTTCATCCACGTAGATGCCTCTGAGGACAGAACCTTAGATGATGAACCTTAAGTTCTTGTGGACAACAGGATGACCATGAGCCAGCAATGTGCCCTTGTGGCCAAGAAGGCAAATGGCATCCTCGGGTGCATCAAGAAGAGCGTGGCCAGCAGGTCGAGGGAGGTCATCCTGCCATTCTACTCTGTCCTGGTGAGGCCCCATCTGGAGTACTGTGTCCAGTTCTAGGCTCCCCAGTTCAAGAAGGACAGGGAACTGCTGGAGAGGGTACAGCAAAGGGCCACAAAGATGATTAAGGGCCTGGAGCATCTCTCCTACGAGAAGAAGCTAAGGGACTTGGGTCTTTTTAGTCTTGAGAAGAGAAGGCTTAAGGGAGATCTAATTAATGCATACAAATACTTAAAGGGAGGGTGTCAGGAGGACGGGGCTGGTCTTTTCTCGGTGGTGCCCAGTGACAGGACAAGAGGAAATGGGCACAAATTTGAGTATAAGAAGTTCCACCTAAACATGAGGAGGAACTTCTTTACTGTGAGAGTGGTAGAGCCCTGCAACAGGCTGCCCAGAGAGGTGGTGGAGTCTCCTTCTCTGGAGACATTCAAAACCCTCCTGGACAAGTTCCTGTGCAGCCTGCTCTAGCTAGACCCGCTCCGGTGGGGGGGATCTCCAGACGTCCCTTCAAACCCCATATGATTCTATGATAAGCAAAAGGAGACTTATCCAGGACCTTGGCCTATTGACCTCCAAAGCAGAGAGAATGATAGAGACAAAAGCATTTCTTGAAAGCAAGGGAAAAATAAATGTTATGTTGCTTTTCTTACAAGATACATTGTGCAGTATTGCAGTTACCTCCTCCCCATGTGAATTTTTAAGCCTGGTGCTGTTTTGTGTTACCGGGAAACAAGTCTCTTAGTGGTGACCCTAGGTAGCTCCTGGGCCCTTTGTACTCCAGGGGACATCCATCTGACAAACAGCAGCTGCTCAAACTCGCTGTTGAATTCACAGATTACATGTATTTCAGCGAGCAGTCATCCTGGTGGTTGTTCTGCACACTCCAGAAAGTTTCTCTGCTGATTGTCATCATAGTGTTGAGAAAACACTTTCTTGGTGTTCTCATTTGCTTTTAGGATAAAGTTTTCACCTACTTCTTGCTTGCCCACCTCAAAGCAATGCTCTTGAAATTCAGGACAGCTTATTAGTGGAGTTTCCAATTAGGTTCAGCCTCCTGATCCATGGATCTTAGACAAGGTAAAAGCAGTAGTCAGTGAATTTTGAGAGAAGAATCTTTCTTAGGCTAGAAGGAACCTGTGGCAGTGTCTTAAACTCTTTAGTCTACTGGACACCTAACTGTAGCAAAAAGCTGATTTTTCTTCCTGTCAGTGCCAAACCAGTGACCTAGTAGAGTGGTCAAGGAGATACTCAGCTCTTCTATTGATTAGAAACAAAACTTAGACTATCGCTACTTCACAGTAGTAAAATCAGTACTTCACAGTCTCAAAAATCATCCTTTTTTCCCCTTTCTTTCCAATGGATAGGGAGTCTTACGTTCACATTCCCTCAGATTTGAGTTTGGGGTTTTCAATAATTCTTTTAAAACTCTGATTAATAAAAGCAGTTGTTTGGAGATTTTTATGGGTATCAGTGGTGATTAAAAGCTCCAAAGAAGATAAAATAAAGACTTGTGTGGGTTGGCTGATTTAAAATACCTTTGCTCAACAGTTTTAAGTATGTGACTTGCTGGCAGTCCATCTTATAGATCCCTTCCCTGCTTACTAGATGTACCACATTTAGGAATGCAGTTAATTTGAAGTTGATAGCTGTCCATGCTTAACACACAGCTTCTAACTATGGGGCAGAAACAATGAGTAGCAGTTAAACTAGAAGAGACAGTGATAAATATAAACTGAAAGGTATGTGGGTGGGTGGACTCTGCCAAAGTTTATGGGTGAAATCTTCAGGGTACAGTCTTATCCTTCACTTGACATGGTCTAGGTGTGTGGTGTTGCTGAAAGGGTCTCTATTCCTGCCTCCGTCTTTGCTCTTTGCATCAGATCACGAGTTTATCCTGTTAAAACAGTTTCATTTTGCTA